TATATATATATATATATATATATATATATATAGTAGATGTTTTTTAATCACAGCTCAGAGCAGCTATACGAGACGTGATATGTAGAATCATATACAAAAGTTTGATACTTTTCAAATGAAAATTGCCTGACCTATAAAACTTTTATCAAACGTCCACACACTTAGTACACATTAGCACATTCTCATATACACACACACACACACACACATATTATAATGCAAACACTCTTTCGTATTATGAAGTTTTGTTATTAAAGATAGCATACTCTCGATATAAAGGGGAGAATTCTTTGTTTGTTTTGTTTGTTTTTTTCCTTTTTTTTTTGTTTTTTGTTTAAATTATTAATTATTTGAATCAATTTATCAACGAAGTTATCGTTATCCAGTAACGATAAAAGATAATAAAAAAAAAAAAAAAAAAACAAGTAAGACACGAAAGAAAATGTTGATTAATCGATTGATTATTCGCAAAGATAAAGCATGCATTTTGTGAATTTTATTATAATTGTATTTTTTTTTTTGTAATTTTGTTGTTGTTATTGTTATAATTTAAACAAATACTCGTTGACGAATATATTGGTCCTGATGATTATTTTCTTTTTCATTTGAAAAGTATTTGCTAATTATTTAACATTTTAAGCCATGTTCTTCTTCTTCTTATTATTATTATTATTAATTATTAATTATTATTATTATTAATTATTATCGTATAGCTATTGGAGTATAGGGAAAATTTGATTAATTTTATTTACATTTGTAGGCCTGTTATTATCATTTTAAATATTAACAAATAAAATTAAAATTATACGATTATTGTATAACAATTGTTTCATCTTGGAATATTCTTTAATATATTATTCTATTTGATTTTTTTTTACAATCGAACTTTACATTGTTCTATTATATAATAATAATAATAATAATAATAATAATAATAATAATAATAATAATAATAATAATAATATATTTCGTTGTACAATAGTAAATTGATTATTCATTTAAATAATTGATTAGATTGATTATAAAGTAATGTCGCTTTTTCAAATTCAAACGAAACAAAATATTTATTTCTATTTTTCATTAATAATCTAATCAATCTAATTTTCAAACAAATTCAATAGAAATATTTTCCAATAGCTATACAATAATTATGAATAAAAATCTAATAATAATTCACGAACTGTTTTGAAGATTCCTGAGCTTTTTTACGTAACTGTTACGTTAACGTTGTTTACTTAAGACGCTTACTAAATAATTGGAGATCCAATTTACAACTTAGCACACACATATATATATATATATATATGTATTTGTATTTTAAAGGAAATAGAAGGTTAAAAAAAAAGAATAAAAGGTGTGTGTGTTGAATCGTCAATTATAATACTATTTAACGCAATAGCAATACTGTTTCATACCATGATTCAAACACTTGGCACTCGTAGCATATGGATTAATTCTACTAACTTCATGATCCGACACTGTATAACTACCATTGCTATTGTATCTTACGGTAAATTCAAATTTACCATTACCCGGTGTAACTTGTATCATACAGAAATAACCAATGCTCCTCATTGAAGTCTTATCATCGAAATTTAATATTTGATCTACGCGATGTATCTTTTTCAATTTTAATTTAGCGCACAATCTTTTGCCATTTTTATCTTTGTAATCTTTAACGATATTTTCCATATGATTTAAAAAACTGTCAACACCACCTAATACGATTTTATCATTAGGATTAGCTGTTCTAAATGCGGTACAGGCACACCAATGTGATGCAATTGCAGCATCCTGACATGATCTTGATCTTGGTACTGGCTCGAACAAACTGTAACAGCTTGGACAACCTAAACCCCAAATAAATATATATTATCATACGTCAGAGACTGTTGAATCGAGTCATAAATAACTTCCGATTATTTTTTTTTTATGAGACAAACAATGACGTTTCTGCGACTGATAAGTGTACGACATCTTTTCATGGAGGATTTTTTTGTTTTTGTTTTTTTTGGCACTCTTTGCATTCGTTGGACGTATCCATTGAATTTTGCTTCCAATATTACCTTTAAAAGGGTTCGGTCAAAGTCGGAAAAGACGTCCTTGCACTCGGTTCGTCTTTTTAAGCTCGTATCTTCACAACGGCAATTTTACAAACCAATTTTCTTGACTGTCCTATCAGTTATCAAATCCTGCACCATATTTGCTGCATATTTTTACAGCTGCCACTTTAATGGCATTGGCCTTGTTTCAATTCATAAAGCGTTGCTTGTCGAATATGCACTTTTTTTACGATCCATTTTGAGTGGTTCAGAAAAATGGGTTAAATGTAACATTGATTACATCGAAAAACGTTGACAGAAGACTAAACTGAATCATCATTTATACAGTGATATGAAAAATGTGGTTGTTTTGGTTACTTATAGTAGATAAATATGAAAAATAGATTCAGAAGTTACTTATGAATCGATTCTAATAATAATATTATACTTAATATACCTGGTGAAGTATCAGCATCACCTCCGGATGTTAATAAAATATCACGGAACGTTTCATAAAGATCAAAAGGTGATGTCAAACGATTTTCATTTATTTTTAATGCCTGATAAGCGTCAGGATTTTCATTACGGAACCAATCTGGTAACCATATATAAATGAATGGTAATCTTTCTTCGTACCAACCAACGAAAGTCTCTCTAAGACTACCCCAACGCATACCTAAACAAACATATTGTCTTGTGTTGTTTTTTTTTTCTGTTATTTCAAAATAATTCAATAATAATAATAATAATAATAATAATAATAATGAATTACCGTGATCACTTAAGAAAACAATCATCGTGTCGTTGAGTACACCTTCTTTCTGAAGTTTATGTAATCTTTGATAGATTTGTGAATCCATTGACGATGGTTCATTAACATTTTCGTGGCTTATTGAATTGGTCCAAAAAAATCCAAAGTATGGTACGTTAAGAAATGTTTCAGCAAAGTCCATTGCATAATTAAAGATCCTATCGAAACTTGTTTCAGGACCGGTGCAATATTTTAAATTAAATCTAATTGTAAATGTATCAAATATATTATTATCGTATTATTATTTTATTAAATATATTAACCCTTTGCACACTCGACGACGATTCGGGTTTAAATTATGGAAACATTTGGACATGTAATTTAATGTCATTTATAAACAAATCATCAAATTTCATCAAATTGATTTATTTTTCTATTAAAATGAAGAAACATTTGAGAAATATTATACACTGTAATTAGTTTTATGTATGATATTTCGTAAAACAATAGCCAAGATGCATCCTAGGTGTTTTATCAGGACACGTATCACGATAATTTGTTACTTCCCACAGCTATCTCCAGGTGTATTACGATCAGAGTAAATCTTACTGTCCCTTTTCAACCCTTTAAGTATTATCTTTAAAGAAATATCTTATCATACATCGTAAATAAGCAGATAGAGTAAACAAAATGACTTGAAATCAGTCGGGCGCTGATTGTCGGGCAACTCGAGTGCAAAGGGTTGTATTGTTGTATATAGAAAAATATGATAAACCAAATTACCTGTTCTTAGATTTAAGAAGTTTTTCACTTGCTAACATATAAGGTCTTAAATAATAATCCGTAGGTGGTTGTACAAAACCAACTTTTAAATAATTAAATGTATTCAAGGCTGTTTCATCTTCACCATATGCAGTTACATATCCCGCATTACGAAAATTATACCAAAGAAATGGACAATGATCGAGTTTGTATGCTTCTGATGGTTTACATCTCGAATATGCTTGTTCTTGATTTTGACCGGTTAAAATGGCCATTAAATTAGGAAACGTATTGTCACCCATTTTGTTGTATCCCTTTAAATTGATCCAACCTGTCTCACGTAGATACTTTTCTGTCATTGGCATACTCCTTTGAAAATTTAATCGACTTACACTGTCGATACCGAGTACTAAAATACTCAATTTTCTTGAGTTACCATATGTCGTTGTTGTTACATTGTTATTTGTTGTTGTTGTTGTTGTTGTTGTTGTTAAATTATCCAAACGATCATAAACTTTTTTTGGATTTAAAATGGCATGAACATTTTCATAATTGGTCATAGTTTTTCCCTTCTTCGTTTTTGTTTTACAACTGACCAATACAACATCGACGTCGTCCGGTATCGTAGCTTGCATTTTCAAACTTTCACATTGTTTAACTCTACCTCGAATTGATTTTACGAATAAATTAATTAATCTTAATTCCCCGAATTATTCAAAATTGATATTTATATCGAGTTTTGTATCTAACTGAAGTGTTAAACATATTACTTACGTAATTATCGAATCGAATTTATGTTTTATCGGATTATCAAAGATCGGTCTAATTACTGGTGACCAACAACAATTCATATTTTTATGATTGGCCAAGATTTTGGCATCTAAAGTAAGGATCATTGTATCGTTAGAACCTTTTGTTATTTTAGTGTATAATTTTTCCTTAAAACACGCCTCGAATTTTTCCCTTTTAATGAATTTAGCGATGGACGGATCTAGGGCGTCCTTCGATAACATATGACATTTTGGATTCCATACGAGAAAACCGTCCATCGTACCTGTAAATCACCGTTTTATTGTTTTCTTTGTTTTGTTTTTTGGGGGAAATTTTAATTATTTTTTACTTTCTTGTAGGTTTTTTTCTTTCCTTTTTTTTTTATATTCGAATTTATATATTTTTAAATATATATATATATATCTTTTAAGTTTGTTACAATATATATATTATATTATATTATATATTAATAATATATTAATTTTCTTATTTATAATATATTATTTATTTATTTTATATTTTTTATTTAT